AGACAGCTCTTGGGAGAATTAAGAGTTGTCCACAGGACTCTGCTGGAAGAGGACTACCGAAAGTTTGTGCCTGATCTTTTTGGACTCCACCCATGTGCCTTTTTTTTTTTGGAGAGATTTTCGCTATAGGGCGCGTGCACTCGCCAGACAGACAGAAAGAAAGCGAGAAATCACCCCCCAGGGAGGATGGTCATGCCGCAATCCCTTCTCCTCCATTCTCCTCTTGGGATCTTGAGCACGCGCGCACACGCGCCTGGCGTGCGTTTTAAGCCACCGGGTCCAGGATGCAAACCGCGGTCAACTACGTGGGGGTCCAGCGACATAACCATTACACTAACTGCTGGTCCCTTTTTTTTTTTTTTTTTTTTCATCCATGTGCCTTTTTCCTTTGCTGATTTTAAGGGGTGCATCCTGTCACTGTAATAAACTTCAATTGTGGGTATAACAGCTTTGGCACATTCTGTGAGTCCTCAAAAGAGTGGTCTTGGGAACCCCTGACAATTCGATACCACCGTTTTTCATAATTCCAATTATCTAACTATTCTTTTTCTGTTTTTATCACTTTTGTTCCTTTGTTTTACCCTTCCCATAAATGCTGGTATTCTATTTTAGGTTATCTTTTCCCCACTCTGCCTGCAAAAACTCCTCTTCCACTTGTCCCAGATCATTTTACTCACTTGTGATTCTGTCACCTGTACTCACATCCATCTGAGACCTCAGCCTGAACCTTTCTTTATGGAAGCTCAACATCTCAGCATGATCAGGGCAGACGCATCATTAACCCTCTACCAAAATGCCTTTCCTACTTTGGTCCCAATTTTAAGGCTGACTCAGTATCAATTCAGGAATCAAAATCATTATTCCCCAATTCAGTCAATAAGCAATTTTTTCTTTCTTTCTTTCTTTTCTTTTTTCTTTCTTTTCTTTTCCTTCCTTCCTTCCTTCCCTTTCCTTCCTTCCTTCCTTCCATCCTTCCTTCCTTCCTTCTTTCTTTCCTGTCTCTCAAGTGTACATGCCCTATATCAAAAAACAAACAAACAAACAAACAAAAACAAGAACTGTCAGCTCTGTGGTGTGGCACTAATGCACTGTTCAAGAAGACGGATCCTAGGGACCAGCAGTTAGCGTAATGGCTATGTCGCTGGACTCCCACGTAGTCGACTGCGGTTCGAGTCCCGGACCCGGTGGCTTAAACTCACGCCGGGTGCGTGTGCGTGCGTGCCCAAGATCCCGAGAGGAAAATGGAGGAGAAGGGATTGTGGTGTGGCCACCCCCCCTGGGGGTGATTTCCTGCTTTCTGTCTCTCTGTCTCTCTCTGTCTGTCTGGCGAGCGCACGCGCCCTATAGCAAAAACCTCTCAAAAAAAAAAAAAAAAAAAAAAAAGACGGATCCTACATGGCGACCTGTTTGAATGCCCAGGCTGTCTAAACATGGAGGGGAACAGTGTGAGCAGACTCTGTGAAGGGTGATCCCTCTCTCTCTTTCTCAAGTGTATGTGCATGTGCTCTATACTAAATATAGAAAAAAAGAAACTAAAAAATACTTTATGAAGTCATGTATTCCTATGTTTTAAAGTGCTTCAGTAAGATACACCGTTATGAGACCTGTTACAAATGTCCTTCCTCTCCGTCAGTCTAGATGCTACAGGAGGGCTGGGATATGACGTCTGATTTGCTTACCACTGTGGTCTAATACAATGACTAGCATTTGAAAATGTCTATCAATTTACTTTTTTTCCTTTTAATTTGCAAGAGGGTACATGTGATAAGCAACTTTTTAAAAGAATTATTTTATTTAACTTTACATTTTTACTTTAATTTGACCAGAGAGGGACAGAGCAAGAGAGAGACAGAGAGAATGTATGCCACCAGGTCCAGGACTCAAGCCATAGTGTGTCATGTGGGAGTCCAGCGCCCTTAACCACCATGCCACCTGCCGGTCCCAATAAGCAAAATTTTGTCATTTCCCCTTTTGAACATCTCTGGAATTCAAGACTTCCCATAGTTCTGGCCCTCATTCTCTCTCACCTGAGCTCTTGCAAACATATGTGAAGTAATCTCCCTAATTCATTTTATGCACCAACCCAATCTAGTTCCATTTCACTCTTTTATTAATCCTTCTCCTCTAACCATGACACCATCTGCTAGTCATATTTTTCTAAACATGAATCTACCCAACCATTCCCTAACTTAGCACCCTTTAGAGGGACCCCAGCCCCTGTTACCCTAGGCTCTTTAGCAAGGCCATAACTCTGCCTCTCCAGTTCCACACTCTGCCTTCCCTCCACCTCCAAATCACCAGCAGTGCCTAACTGCTCTTAATTGCCAGGCCACACTCACCAGAAAGTACTGTCTATGCGCAGGACCCATTCTGGACACTGGAGATAAATCAGTTAACCAGTCAAAGTTAACCCAAAGAGCTACCTTCCAATGGAGAAACCAGTAAGAAAACAAACAAAAACAAAACAATCATACAATTATTTCTTTCTTTTTTTTTTTTTTTAGAGATTTTCACTGTAGGGCGCATGCGCTCGCCAGACAGAGAGAGACATAGAGACAGAAAGTGAGAAATCACCCCCTAGGGGGGATGGTCACGCCGCAATCCCTTCTCCTCCATTCTCCTCTCGGGATCTTGGGCACGCACGCACATGCGCCCGGCGTGAGTTTTAAGCCACCAGGTCCGGGACACGAACCGCGATCGACTACGTGGGAGTCCAGCGACATAGCCATTATGCTAACTGCTGGTTCCCTCATACAATGATTTCTGATACTGCTGAGTTTGGTGATGGAAATGAAGCTGGAGGTGACAGCACAATCAGAGGCCAATAGGGTGTTGTTTTGGTAAGCATGGATGAGGAAGCCCTTTCTGAAGAATGACCTTCAAAAGGAAGCCTAGGTAACGGTACAAGGGATCCCTTTTAATAACTGTCAAGAAATTGGGGACAGCAGGTGGCGTCATGGTTGAGGACACAGGGCTCCCACATGGCTGACTATGGTTTGAGTCCCAGATCTGATGACTTGCTTTCTCACTCTCTCTCTCTCACTCTGGTCAAATAAATAATTTAAATAGAATAAGTCATTATATTTTAAATAAATAAATAAATAAATAAATGTCAAGACCAGCAGATGGCACAATGGTTATGTCTCTAAACCCCCATGTAGTCAAGTGTGGTTCAAGTATCGGACCTGGCAGCTTAAAACTCATGCCAGGCATATGCACATTTATGCCCAAAATCCTGGGAGGAGAATGGAGAAGAGATTGCATTGTGGCCATATCCCCTGGGGGACTGATTTTTTGCTTTCTGTCTCTTTCTCTGTCTCTCTGGCAAGCATGTGCACCTTATAGGAAAAATCCTTCCAAAATAAAAGGGAGGGGCGAACTAGCAGATGGCATAACAATTACGTAGACACCAATGTAGTCAACCATGGTTCGAGTCCTGGACTCAGCAGCTTAAAACTCATGCCAGGCATATGCACATTTATGCCCAAAATCCTGGGAGGAGAATGGAGAAGAGATTGCATTGTGGCCATATCCCCTGGGGGACTGATTTTTTGCTTTCTGTCTCTCTGGCAAGCATGTGCACCTTATAGGAAAAATCCTTCCAAAATAAAAGGGAGGGGCGAACTAGCAGATGGCATAACAATTACGTAGACACCAATGTAGTCAACCATGGTTCGAGTCCTGGACTCAGCAGCTTAAAACTCACACCAGGCGCATGTGCATGGATGCCCAAAATCCTGAGAGAAAATCCTGAGAGAAGGGATTGTTATGTGGCCATCCCTCCCGGGGGTGGTGGTGTGATTTTTTGCTTTCTGTCTCTTTGTCTCTCCAATGAGGACATGTGCCCTATAGCAAAAATCTCTCTTACCAAAAGAAAAGAAAAAAAAAAAGTCACATGACTTTCCCAATGACCTACTCAATATTTAATTTTTTTTTTAAATTTATTTTTTTCCTTTTTTGGAGCGGTTTTTGCTATAGGGCGCTTGTGCTCACCAGACAGACAGAGAGAGACAGAGAGAGACAGAGAGACAGAAAACGAGAAATCACCCCCCTAGGGGGGATGGCCACGCCGCAATCCCTTCTCATCCATTCTCCTCTTGGGATCTTGGGCACGCACGCACACGCGCCCGGCGTGAGTTTTAAGCGACCGGGTCCGAGACGCGAACCACGGTTGACTTATGTGGGAGTCCAGCAACATAGCCATTACGCTAACTGTTGGTCCTATTTATTATTTTTTAAAATTTGCCATAGAGTACATGCACTCACCAGAGAGAGAAAGAAAAAGAGAGAGGGAAAGTGAGAAAACAAGCCACCAAGTACAAGGCTAAAACTGCAGTTGGCCATTTGGGCGTCCATGTCTCAACCACATCACCTGCTGGCCCCTACTGTTCCAATTTTAAGGAGAAAATATAGGGGACCTGGGGGCAAACTTATGCAAGAGGAGTGGCAATGTGGAAGAGTGGGCTAAGGGAAAGCTATTCAGCTCCATAATTCTGAAATGGCTCTTTAAAACAGAGAATCAGTAACTAAGGATAGCCAACCAAATCTAAACAAGAACCAGGACTTTTAGAGGGTTTTAAGAAAATATGCATGAGGAGATGTCTTGAAATGTAAGTAAAGCTGTAAAAGATTCTTTTCTAAAAAGCTGGTTTTAGGACCAGCTCCAAAAGCAGTTAAGAAAAGCCAAATCTCACATGACTGACCATGGTTTAAATTCCACCCCAAGCAGCTTGAAAAACACACCGGGTACATGAGCATGCGTGGCTAAAATCCCAACAGGATAGAGAAATGGAGAAGGGATTGCAACATGATTATGCCCCGTTAGGGATGTGTCTTCTCTCTCCTTGTCACTGTCTCCTCTCTTTGGCCACTTCACACACATTCTGGCAATGGGAAAAAAATGACTTTAGACAATGTCTGACTACACTTTTATACTAAAAACTCAATGTAACTTGGACCTGATGCTGATAAGCAGAGAAAAAAATTACAATAGGACTTACTTGACCATAACACATTTCAAGGTGTTTATTATTTACTATGAGTAATATGCACAAATTACTAGCAACCTGTACAATCAGACCAGGTTACAATTCACAGTAACACATTCACTCCAAGCTGCCACAAGAGCTAAACTAACTCTCCCCCAAAGATTATTTTATTTCCAACCTTATATTCTGGCTTTTATATTTATTTTACAATACCCAGTACAGTGTACAAGGTTATCTTCAAGAAGTTCATGGAAAATGCATATTATGAAAAACTACCCATGGATTTCAAAAATGTTTTGCACCAAAATATACTTTAAATCGATTTTTCCACCAACTTTTTGAAGTACCCGCATACACTTAACAGCTTTTATGAATACAACTGTCCCCGAAGGCCTTTCAGATAGCAGAGGTGAATACTTTTTCATGGAGGAAGGCCAGCTTTTCTAAGCGAGTTCGTTTCAGTAGTGGGAGCCATTCCCAGTGGGATAACTCTACCACACGGTACCCAAGCTGAACCAGCTGTCGCCTCTTCATGTTGTGCAGTCCAAGCAGATTCCTAGTACCATAGCAAAACTGATTCTTGTTTGTCAACTGAATAGCCAGCTTCACTTGTGGGGCCTGCATGCAGGCTTGGGGGTACAGGCCAGCCCTCTCCATGGTCCCCGATTTATCTGTCCCATTGCAAAGAGTGTCTCCCAAGGGTATGGCTGCCTTTTTCTCTAACTCTATGTGCTGCTGCCCAGTCTCTGACTCAACCTGCCTCTGAAAATGCCCTCTTGCTTTCCCATTTAGTAACTGATTTAACAAATCATCTGTAAGGCTGACTCCCACATGTTTAAGCCTTAATTTGGCTCCATCTTCAGTTGGTATGGCTTCTCTGTTGAATGGTAATGGCTTCATGTTAACATCAAGCTGGACCTCTAAGTCAGAAGATCTGGTATGAGGTAAAATCATATGATGTTTGACATATTGGGGTCCACCCAACATGGTTTCAAGTAAAGAGAGAGTTTCCAGAAATTCAGGCTTTGAATTCATATCCTTTCTTGCTAAATTCCACAGCATTTCACATGCCTCTTGCTGAAGGTGAGAACTAAGACGATGACCTTTGTAATGTGGGCATTCAATGCCAACTGTACCATCAAGAGTACACAGTTCTTTAGTAAGTTCAAACTTGCTGCTCTCCTGAGCTAACCTGACAAACCCTGGACTTAAAGCAAAATCGATGAACTCTACTGGAAAATACTCAGAAAATGCCAGGCCCAGCAGGCAGGTGAGCAGGTGTTCAGGGTACTGCTTAAATTCTGGCATTTTTCTGTGAATCTCATTTATCAGGCTGGAATAAAATTCCTCTGTGTTGGGTGGCTTATAGTTCAGAGTTCCAAATGACCACAAAATCTTGGCAACATCTTTACTTCGACAGTGTGCTACCCTAGGAGGCAACGAAGCAGCTACGGCATTCATTACACCTTCATCCAAGATGCGTAAAGCTGAGCAGGCAAGAGTCAGGTGCATGACTCCTTGAACTCCCAGGGAAGGAATTCGCTGAGGAGCGACCTCTCCAAACTGCTTCATGAAATTTACATGATCCACATGGGTGAAACGGAACATTTTAAGAATATTCACTAAGGCGTGACTACTCAGATGATGCATGTCAGTACAAACTAAGTCTCCAAATTTCCTCATGACAAATTCAGAGAGACTACTACTTGATTTAAAGAACCCCAAACAGATAGCACCAATCTCCTCTAAATTGATCAAATCTATGTACTTAAGGATCAACGATTCCAGTTTTTGCATTAGGTCCGGGGGTACCTGACGACTTTCACCTATAATATAAATTAAGTGAATCAGCTGGGATAAGGATAGTTCTTTCCAGTGCAAATTAAGGTAACTAAAAAAGATTTTTAAAAATCGAGGCACTTTGCGGCCTAAGTATCGCCACAGATCAGCCACCAAGAGAAGTTGATCTAGGCTCATCTCCCAGACCTGATGGCAAAATCTGGTTTCATACACACCTAGCATTGAATGGGAGTGAGAGATTCCTAAATTGACAAAAGCTCTCAGAATATTGATCAGATCTGGGGTATCAAAGAGCTTTATGTTTTTTATACTCAACTGGCAGAGCAAAGCAAAGCTGGAACTAGATAGCAAAACAGGATGCTGTTCTACAGGCAAAGAGCTCAATTTACAGAAATATTCTACAATGATTTGAGGCTGGAGATCATTTTGATAAACTGTGACTTTGTGCAAAATTAATTCACCTTCTGCAACAGACAAGGGCTGACGAGTTTCACATCTGTTATAGCTATGAAGCTGGTATTCTGGTCTTAGCTGCAGGAAAACTCGGGGGCATTCAAGAGAATCAAAAGCTTCTACATCCTCTTCATCAGCTCTCCTGGTCCTGGATGAGCCTGGCTGTAATGTGCTGGCTTTAGAAGCAGAACCTTTGCTGAATTCCAGACCCCGAAGGGCATTGCTGGTTGCGAGGATCCCCTGAGAGGAAGAAGTGCTACAAATGTTCTTAACTTTTTTGGCAGGATGGCAAGGGCTACCACCTGCGGGGTCCTGTCCCCAGTGCCTTGTGCTGCTTCCCACATGCCGACATGCCATACTTTGGGTTGTATTGCAGACAAAAGGACTGTAAAATGCTTGATGTCCTAAAGGTTTTAACTTGAGTGTGGCTGCCATTCTGGTTTGAGCACTGATCTTTTTGGCAATCAGAACACAGTCCTTACAGGTTTGACCAGGCAATTTCTTGATTAGAGCTGGACGGGAAGGTGTTCCACAGAAACTGCCTGGAAATCTTCGGCATATCACAAGAGCCATGGATCACAAATGACTGGGCCAGAATTGGTGCCAGATACTGAAAAGAGGGTAGACGAAGAATGAGTGGCTTCCACCTATCACAAAACCAAAATTTACACATTATAAGAAATAGGTTAAAACCACACTGCTGTCTTCTCAAGCAGGTTCAATGCTAGTGACTGAGCAAACCACCACACAGCATATACTGAGGATAAACTATGTGCTTCACACATGGCACAGGAAAACCCAAGCCCAGATATCACTGGGCAGTTCCTGGCCTGCTGGTCACTCCAGACCTCCTTTATTGTAAAAGAGAAGCAGTGACAGTTACAGAAGAGAAGATGTTCCCTAACAGTCAATGGGAAGGAGGAAAGTCAATTTCTAAAAAGAAAGCTAGGAGCAAAGGCAGCCAAGCCAGTCCTCCTCCCTGATATTAACACACAAAGGTCCCACTTGGAGAGAAGGAAGTTTGTAAAAGTTGCCATGCTAACAACGCCAAGTACAAAGTACGATTTAATATAAAGTTTAATTATCATCCTTGTTCTTAAAATATAAAACTTTTTTTAAAAGATTTTATTTGGTTTTATTTATTCTTTTTTTTTTTTTGCCATAGGGTGGGCGCCACCATGCCCCTATTTTTTTTTTTTTTTAATTTGACCAGAAAGATACACAAACACACAGAGATAGAGAGGGAAAGTGAGAAAGCAAGCCGCTAGGTCTGGGACTTGAACCACAGTGAGTCATGTAGGAGTGTCCAGCACCTTAACCACCAGGCCACCGGCTGGTTCCCAAAATATAAAACTTTTAATTATAGAATTCTATTGTTCTAATGCTGTTCCTGCACCTTTTAGAAGATGCCTATGGGGCCAGCAGATGGCGTAGTGGTTATGTTGCTGGACTCCTACATGGGCACCTATGATTTTGAGTCTCAGACATGGAGGCTTGAAACTCATGCTAGATGCATGTGTTTGCCCAAGGTGCCAGGAGAAGAATGGATTGCAGCATAGCCATCTCTCCTAAGGGATGATTTCTCATTTTCCCTCTGTCTCTATCACCTCTCTCTCTGGCAGCGCTCTAAGGCAAACATCTCTCTGAAAAAAGAGAGAGAAGTAGCTGGCAAGTGGTGTGGTAGCTGAGGTGCTGGACTCCCATGGGTCGAGTCCCAGACCTGGTGGCTTGCTTTCTCACTTTCCCTCTCTCTCTCTCTGATCAAATTTTAAAAGTAATAATAAATAAAAATTAAACAATTATTCTTTAAAAAATAAAAAAGGAAGAAGATACCTATTCTCCTCTCTAGGAGGCTTACAAAAGAATTTGAAACACTACTGTAGAGCAGTCATGCAATTAGGAAGTATACTCACTCACTCATTTTTGCTCAGGAGGGCAGAGGCTGGGGCCATTCCTTGTCTATATCATAGGTAAAAAGCAAATGGCACCTCAAAGCTGGGTTCAGAGTTAGGAGACACCAATTCATGTGACTGATCTGCTGAGAAGACAGGGAAGCAGCACAGCATTCCTCTGCAGGGGGCAGGCTAGAAATGCTCCCAGTGACTCAGGTATTGATTACTTCCTTATTCCTATGGGCAGTACAGTTCCTGTTTTGTTCATCAAAGACTATGAAACTGACTGCTGTTCTCTTACTTTCCTTAATGCATATTTCTTCCTTTCTACTTAAGTGCCAAAGTTGGATAAGCAAGACCCAAGGACACCTGAGCTGCCAAGTGACAGACCAGATGGGGCTGGGCGGCTGCTGCTGCTCTGCTGCTGCAGAAAATTCCATGAAGGTTCTGAGAATGCTGGAATGACTTTCCCCAACTCTGCTGTCAGCCCCTTCTTTTGAGCACAAAGAGTAAAAACCAGAGGACCACAGAGCAGGTGGTGGTTTTGTTACGGTAGGTAGCCTACCTATGCAGGCTTCTTTGGATAGCAGGAATCTATGTTCTAATTTCCTTGTGAAGCAGAACAGAATTCTTTCACACTTGGGACCAGCAGTTGGTGTAATGGCTATGTCACTGGACTCCCATGTAGTCGACCGCAGTTCAAGTCCCAGACCCGGTGGCTTAAACTCACACTGGGCGCATGTGTGTACGTGCCCAAGATCCCGAGAGGAGAATGGAGAAGGGATTGCAGCGTGGCCATCATCCTGGGGGGTGGGGGCGGGGAGGTGACTTCTCATTTTCTATCTCTCTGTCTGTCTCTTTCTGGTGAGCATATGTGCCCTATGGCAAAAAAAAAAGAGAATTCCTTCACACTTAATCTTCATACACTTGGCTCTCTACTGTGGCCTGTGGACCATTCTGCCCACCCAGTTTCAATCTGTGGGTTCAGATGCTACAGAGACCGAAGGTCAGCAAACTATACTCTGAGGCCCAAACCAGCACTTTGCTTACACTGTAAGTGAAGTTTTACTAGATCATAGCTAGCCTGTTCATTACATGTAGTTATGTCTGCTTTCCCACTATAAGAGTAAAGTGGGTGGGGCCAGCAGGTGGTGTGGTGGTTAAAGGCTCTGAATTATCACGACTGACCGCAGTTCAAGTCTTACACCTGGCAGCTTGCCTCCTCGCTTTCCCTTTCCCTCTCTTTCTCTTCTCTGGTCAAATTAAAAAATAATAAAAACAATGGAATTAAATAAACAAACATTAAAAAGAAAAAAAGAGTAAACTGTGTAACTGTGGCAGACTATAAGGCATGCAAAGAATGAAGTAGTTATTGTCTGGCCCTTTACATAAAAAGTCTGCTGATCCCTGCTAAAAAAATCTCTGCTATAAGGACCAGCAGTTAGTGTAATGGCTATGTCGCTAGACTCCCATGTAGTCGACCGCAGTTTGCGTCCCGGACCCGGTGGCTTAAACTCACACCGGGTGCGTGTGTGTACGTGCCCAAGATTCTGAGAGGAGAATGGAGGAGAAGAAACTGCGGCATGGCCACCCCCCAGGGGGTGATTTCTCACTTTCTGTCTCTCTGTCTCTCTTTCTGGAGAGCACACGCACCCTATAGCAAAAACCTCTCAGAAAAACAGAAATACAATGCATTGAGGCTGACCCACATGGAAGGTTCTAGGTTCACACCAGACTTGCTTGAATATGCCAGAAACAGGGGACCAGCAGTTAGTGTAATGAGTATGTCACTAGACTCCCATGTAGTCGACCGCAGTTCGCGTCCCGGACCCGATGGCTTAAAACTCATGTGGGGCGCATGTGCGTGCGTGCCCAAGATCCCAAGAGGAGAACGGAGAAGGGATTGCAGTGCGGCCATGCCCCCGGGGGGGGTTTCTCACTTTCTCTCTGTCTCTCTCTGTCTGTCTGGCGAGCTAAAACCTCTCCAAAAAAGAAAAAGAAAAGTTAAAGAAATATGCCAGGAACATGTGTGACAGTGATCCAGGGTTAACTAAATCTAGAGGCAGATTACGGCATGAAGACCCTATTGGGGGGACCAGCAGTTAGCGTAATGGCTATGTTGCTGGGCTCCCACGTAGTCGACCGCAGTTTGCATCCTGTACTGGGTGGCTTAAAACTCACACCAGGTGAGTGTGCATGCGGGCCCAAGATCCTGAAAGGAGAATGGAAGAGAAGGGATTGTGGCGTGGCCATCCCCCCTCGGGGGTGATTTCTCACTTTCCATCTCTCTCTCTGTCTGGCGAGCGCATGCGCCCTATAGAAAAACCTCTTAAAAAAAAAAAAAAAAAAAAACCCTATTGGGGTCACATTTCTCCGTCTCTATGTCTCTCTTTCATGAAAGAAAAAAATAAATAATAAAGGTAAGTAAAAATTAGAAAAACATTAATAGTACTAAAATCAGTTTCTCTTCAATACTTAGCTGTTAATTGAAGATTTATATGCTTCAAAACAGTCACTAGGAATTTCAGTTAATGTTACAGCACAGGCACGGTGGGATAAAAAAGAGAACAAGTAATAGAACACTCTAGATGGGGATCCTACACAACTGACCATGCAGTTTGAATCCTGACCCTGGTAGCTTGAAAACCAAACCTGGCAAGGGACCAGCAGATGGCATAATGGTGATGTTGCTGGACTCCCATGTAGTCGACCTCAGTTCAACTCCTGGACCCGGTAGCTTAAATTAACACCAGGTGCGTGTGCGTGCATGCCCAAGATCCTGAGAGGAGAACAGAGAAGGGCTTGTGGAGTAGTTATTCTCTTTCTGTCTCTCTCTCTCTCTCTTTTTGGCAAGTGCACGCACCCTTATAGCAAAAACCTCTCCAAAAAAGAAAAACAACATGGCAAATGTGTGTACACATCCAAAATCCTTATAGGATAGAGAAATGGAGAAGAGATTGCAGTATGGCCATGCCTTATGGGGGGGAGGATGCTTTCTCCCTCTGGCAAGCATGTGTATCCTCTGGGGAATTTAAAAAAAAAAAAAAAGAGTGACCTGCTTTGGAATCTAGAATCTAAATTTAGTCCAACAAAAGCCATAAATTGTTCAAATGTATAGTTCTTCATCTCATCTTAGGAACTAAATCCTAAGAATTAACTTTACAACCTAGGGGCCAGCAGGTGGCATGGTGGTTAAGAGCGCTGGACTCCCACATGGCCAACCGCGGTTAGAGTCCTGCTTGCTTTCTCCCTCTCTCTTTCTCTCATTCTGTCCCTCTCTGGTCAAATATAAATTAATAAATAAAGTTAAATAAAATAATTCTTAAAAAAAATCTAATTTTTACAAAAGAGTGATACTATACTAAAGCAGAAAACTCAAAACAATCCAAATGTCCATCCAGTGGAAAGAGGCTGGTTCACAGAAGTGTGTAACAGGCATCAACACACAGAGAAGTACATACAAATATTCAGTTAACAGTATGCAAACAACTGTTATCACCTAAAATACACTTACATAAATGAAAATTAACAAGGTAGCTTCGGGACCAGCAGGTGGCATGGTGGTTAAGGGCGCTGGACTCACATGACCAACCACGGTTTCAGTCCCGGACCTGGTAGCTTGCTTTCTCACTTCTCCCTTCCCCTCACTTTGTCCCTCTCTGGTCAAAACAAAATAAATAAATAAATAAATAAAGTTAAATAAAATAATTATTTTTTTAAAAAGGTAGTTTTTTTGTGGATAGACATGCAGTTAT